ATGTGGGGCCCCCTCAAGATTAGGTCACCCAAATTTGGGTTTTGATTGGGTCCAAATCCAAATTTTGTAGGTTTGGGTCTAAGCTTTGGCGATATTTTTTTTTGTTTAAATCCAAATATTTGGGTTTGGGTTCAAGAGTTGGAGTTTGTCTAATTAGAGTGTTTTGTTATTTAGTTAGAATAAGTCACTCACAATGTAGTCTATTTGAGTTATGTAGCCGTCTCGTCAATTTATACTTTAATAGTATTCTCTTCCGTTTAATTAACTGAGTAATCTATTCATTTTGTAAACCACCTGTTCGTTCGTCTGTTATGCCTACTATGATTTTCATATATGCAAGAAGTAGAATTTGCATTGCTTCATCATTCCAAATCAGAATTAAAAACCACAATCTCAGTGGGATCAGATTAATTACTTGGGCAATCAAAATTTCTTAAGTACAACCCCAAAAGTGATGGGCTTAATGTCTTCTTTAGCAGTTTCCTCATCCACCAATCTCCCAAAATTTTCAAACAAACTGTCCAAGATTCCTTCTCCAAAATGCTGCCCTATCATGGATTCTTGAATAGCCCTCACAGTCATCGCAACTCTTGTTCCATAGCTCTCATTGTTCTTGCCATGCCTTTGATCCAGCCCAAACATCTCAAACCTCTCCAATTCAAAAGAACCTTCCTTCCTCACTTCATCTTCTATTTCTTCTCTGGATGGAGCATAGAAATGCACATCATATGAGTCAAGCCTTTCCTCTTCAACATCTCCCTAACAAAAACAAAACAAAATTATTCTCAACTGGTTAAACACATTCATGTAACTCTAAACATGTGCTTATATATGTTGGATTCTCCCTCCCCTAATACCAATTATATATTTAAAAAAAAAAAATTAAAGCTCCATCATATGAAGTGTCTTAATTTAAACAAAATCAACCAAGACAACATCCTAGTGGCATGACCACACCATAGTTACCTCTAATACCTAACTTAATTTTCATTTTAATGACCGCCTCGTGCCATTCTGATATTGGTTTATTTTTATTTTTATCACTTTTTCCATCTTTAGACAGATGGCATGTACTATGTGAATAGTGGTGGCACTATGATTCTGTCTTGGTTATGAAGACAGATTTCTTTATATTTTGGAGTTTCTTGATGGGAGCGGGCTTGTCTGCCCTCCACTTTCAATACATTTATATTCTTTTTTGTTTGTGCGATCACGGTTAAATTACGTTAATATTTTATATTACTTTTATTTTTTATCTTATTATATTTATAAAAAAATTAATATAATTTAACCGTAATTGCACAAAATAGAAGGAAATAGAAATGTTTGAGAAGTGGAAGCATTGAGAAGCCAACTCCTTCTTGGTGTGCATTATAAATTAGTACCTTGGAAACCAAAATGGCAATGGACTGATAAAGAAGCTGCCAGAAGAAACAGTTGCCTCTGTCGACATGATCTGGGCCACTCCTTCCCAACAAGATAAGCACCATTCTTCCTAGTGCAGCCAGCTCCTCGGACCTTGACTTAAGGAACAAAGTGAAGTCCTCTTGAAATTGCTTCAGGTAAGCTTGAGAAACTCCAACAGGGCTTGATTCAGAAATGTAAACACTTCCTTTGTTTATAGACTTCCCCTCTTTGCAGTAAAGCTCCGGAGGAACCTGCATGGCGTTATGGTCAAACAGACTTGACCAATCTGTTCTAGAGCAGTTATTTTCACACTCCCATTTTCTCTTTCTGCACTCATCCTCTTGTTTCTGTCTCTTTTATAGGCTATAAAAGAAAGAGGGGAGTGCCGGAGGAGAAAAAAGAGTGAAAATCACTTCCCGATGTTCTAAAGTAAAAAAGGCAAAATAGATTTGAATTTTTGAAATAAGAAATGAATCTAAGAGTAACAGATCTTACCCTGGATAGCCAGTGCAAACTGTAGGATGAGTAGACAAAGTGCAAGGAATTGTTGGGGAAAAGTCTGCCATAAAATGAGCCGGGATAGGCTCCTATATAAACAGAGGGAGATTTCCCATTGTTTCTTTCTTTGTTGAGGTCTTTGGAGAAGTCTGGCAAAGCCTTGAAGATTGAATTGAAGTCATTGGAGGGAAGGTCATTGAGGTAAACTCTGAACTCTTGTGATGGTTGGAATGTTCTTCTACAAACACCTTCAACTGCTTCAATGATTTCTTTGATGATTGATAAGGTGTTGGGTCCAGATGAACAGCCCAAATCAGCTATGCCTAAGCTCTTTGGAGTTGTGGTGAGGTAAAGTTCTTGTATTGCCTCTAAAGTTATGTTCTTTACCATATCAGATGCCTTCTTCTGTTGATCAGAATTAGAAAGAAAAAACATATAATTAGGAAAAAAACATCGTGAACACACACACACACACACACACACATATATATATATATAGGGGTGTGATATCCACACACCCTTTTTTACTTTTCATACATTCTTCTAATTTTTGGTCGTTGGATCGGATGAATTGAAGAAGATCAAAAGACAGAATTAACAAGGGATGTATGAAAAGTGAAAAAGGATGTGTGAATGACATCCATATATATAGAGAGAGAGAGAGAGAGAGAGAGAGAGAGAGAACCTGGAGTGAAGAATTTCTGGCATAGCTAGTAAGGCCAACTCCTCCAGTCATGTGGAAGACATTCTCTACATCCATGCTAGCTTGTTGAAGTTGGCTCTCCGCTGCCTTCGAATTTGGTGGAGTTTGCTTCTTTATTGGTATTTTAAAGGCAAATTCACATGATCACATCTTTCCACTTTTGGCGCAACTATGTATACACACACACATATATATATATATATATATATATATATATATATATTCTTTGTCCTGGTAGTTCATATGGCATAAACATACAAATAATTCAAGCGTCATGATTATGGTTACAGTTACGGTTTGACAATATCTGGTGCTTATGAGAAGTGATGACGGAGGCATTATCCTCAGTGGGGGTAGATTATTTAGGTGCTAAATTCATTTTAATGTATATGATTATGGTTACAGTTATGGTTTGACAATAGCTCGTGCTTAAGTAAATTATAAAGATCGAGACACTCACATGGAAATATATATCCTTGGTGGTAGGATAGATTATTTCCGTGCTAAATCCATTTTAAAATATATCAAGTGCCATGATTTTGAGTACAATTATGACAATAGCTATGAGAAGTATAATGACTGAGGCACTTACATAGAAATATATCTTTGGTAGTAGGATATGATATCTGAATCCACCTGTTTGAAATATATCTACACGTCATGATTTTAATCATCATGATTTTAGATACTGTTGTGACTTTACAATAACTTTCCGTACTAAATCCATTTTAAAATATATCAAGTGCCATGATTTTGAGTACAATTATGACAATAGCTAGTGCTACGAGAAGTATAATGACTGAGGCACTTACATAAAGATATATCTTTGGTAGTAGGATATGATATCTGAATCCACCTGTTTAAAATATATCTACACATCATGATTTAAATCATTACGATTTTAGATACTGTTGTGACTTTACAATGACTGATGTTAAAAGAAAAACGTGGTCAGTTAGACATGCACATAAAAACATATCCTTGGAGATAGAGTAGAATCTTTCAGTGCTAAACCATCTTAAACATGGACAATCATTGCAGTGCTTAGTTTGAACATTAGAGAAGATTCCTACCCTAGTTGCCTAAGCATGACACCCGTGCTAAACAGACACTAACTATGCTTAATTAAGATAGTACTTGTCTCATAATTCTGATTTGACTCATATTTTTCACTTTCGCTTTTCAGTTAAGCTGCTGATATGAAAAGCTGTTTTGTTGGCCAATGGCTGATTGTTTTCGTGAACAATGAAGTCATTAATGGTTCGTACCGTAAGTGCAGGAAGATAAGGCTCTCTCATAGGGTTGTGGTTGGTGTGCTGCGCTATAGTTGGCTTTGGTCCCAAACATCCGCAAGTTGTCTGGGCTGAAGCAACTTTTTTGAGACTGAGAAAATCACTACACTGCATAGCATGCATGGTTTTGAGATATTTGTTGTCCATATCTTGTCACAAATAGCACGCTTTGCCGGGACACCTGTCGACTGAGGGGGCAGTAACTGGTGCTCATGAAATGGGTATTTCAGTTGCTGCAGCAGATTCAGTAACCATATAGTGAATCATAAGAAAAGGATTCTCTCCTGATCATATTTTTACATTAAAAAATCAATCCTAGTATTATTCATTTTACTCTTTATTTTATCTTTATCATTAAAATTCAAAAATTTCAAATCATTTTCATTAGTTTTCCTTATATTAAAGCCATTTTGGATGCATAAAGTGAGGACAAGGATTATATATAGAGCATAACATATAATCAAAATAGCCCGTCCTTTGATTTGGATAACTTATTTGTCAACATATACTTCTGTTTTGTTCTCTCGTACATATTTTTCTATTTAGCTTGTGTTTTAATTTTCCTCACACAAATTGGTGTATCTAATATAAGTTATATATGTTGGTTGTTGGTTGATAGCATGGGGGAATCTAATTGTGTCAAATAAAAACAAGGCAATGAAACATATAGGTCGTGAGCTCATTTGGATGTGCTTTTACAATGATTGAAAGGGCTTTTAGAGAAAATATTTTTGGATTTCAAAAGCACTTAAAGTGTTTTCTGCAAGAAACACAAGTTATGTGCTTCTTTCAGGAAGCACTTAATGTGTTTTTCCATGATTTGCTTGTTTCTTTACTAAAGATTGGTTCTAAAAATATTTTCACTAAAAACGATTTCAATCATTTTAAAAACACATCCAAACGAACTCTTCGTCTCCTACAATTTAACAGGCTTAATTTTGATCAAGTTGGTGATACAAAGCACATGTTGGCTAAGTACGGTTTTTATATAAATTAAGGCCAATTGGACAAGCAATCGACCAGCTAACATGAGCTTATCTAGCTAGGGAGGTGAACAACCCAAAGCTCCATATATTACACCGTCTTTATAGCTCGTTCAGAGAGAGAGAGAGAAAGAGAGAGTAAGCTCTAGCTCTTCAATGGTACAAAGGACTGTCCTCAAGGTTGATATAGATTGCCAAAAACGCCAGAGGAAGCTTCTCAAGGCAGTGTCTGTCCTCGAAGGTAACAGAATCATGCCCCCTCTTGAAACTTGTTTCCATAATTTCCCTTGGCATAGATTAGTTATTATTGCATCACTTGTTAGTCATTCAAAATAAGATTAATCAAGATTTATAGTATGAACGTACGTAAGTATACAATATGTGATATTGTCAACAATCCATAGATGCATAAGCAATTGCTAATCATTGATTGATAAAGGCCTCCTACAACTTATCCTCACATCAATCAATAATTAAAAATCTCTCATACACGTGTGGACAACTATACCGAACTAGAACTCTAGAGTTGATCATTAGGCATTTAAACTTCAAAACCAAAAATGTACAGTACTATTTGTCATATTAATCATCTCTGATCATTTCAGGCGTGGATAAACTTGAAGTTGATGCAGCCAAGGGAACTTTGACGGTTACAGGCGACTGTGATCCCTATGAAATAATTGTTCGGACAAGAAAAGCATGCAAATATGCCGAAGTAGTGAGTGTTGGGCCTCCTCCTAAACCTCCAGAAAATAAGCCCGAACCGAAGAAAACTGAAGAAAAAGACCAGAAGAAAACTGACGAAAAAGACCAGAAGGTCGAGCCCTGTCACATGCCCTGTTATTGCCCTGGGCCATGTCAAAGGTGGGGCATTGTGAGGGTGGATCCCTGTTATGACCACAACCCTTCCTGCTCTATCATGTGAAAAAGTCAAATAGTCAACCTATGGTCAATTTGTCAAGTTCAATAATTTTGTGCGGTGGTTGTATGATCAATTTGTTAGTTTGGATTAGGGTTTGTTAAGCTCTCATTCGAGTGCTGATTGGCTATAGATTTTTAATTGTTGATGCATGTGGTTTTTTAATATGATTTACATGCATCTATGTTAAACATCGTCATTTTTCATGATGATTAACCTAATTATACTCTAAAAATCATGTGATTTCGATTCGTAGACAAGAATAAAATTGAAGGTTGTAAAAATTAAAGTGATTATGTTGATGCCATTCAACTTCTTCACACGCACACCTTATCATTTATCTCTCGTTGATTCTATTTTGTTGGAATGCTTGGATGGACTTGTTGATTGTTGCATAATGCCTTCACATTGATGTTTGTAAATAAGCAAGAACTAGACCTCAAACATCTAAAAGAAAATGCGGGTCCTAGGTTAAAATTTCGTTGTTCTTTCAACTGCTCGTATTGCTTTGATTTTCTCTTGGGAGTGCTGCCAATAGCCATGGAAATGATTAAAGATGTTGTTGGAATGAAAGAATCGACACTGAGGGCTTGAGGTGCATGTTTAGCAAATAAGAGTGCATGTACTTTCGTTGGTGTTGGTTAGGCTTGAGTTTTAGAAGATGGTTTGCAAGAAATTTTGGTGGCGGATGAGGTTTTTGCTGTGGTGTGATTGGAATTTCTAAGCGTAAGAGTGGAAATTAAGCATGATGCTGGCTTTGTGTCCGATCTAACGAATCTCGTAACGATTAAATTTTACATAAAATTTAATTACTTCTAGCCTTTTCTTTTTTTTGATGATTCCTTTAAATAAATATGTTCTATGTCTTCTGTTAGTGTTGTCGAAAGCAGAACTAGTAATTAGAATATGAAGCTGTAACAAGGTAGTCATACTATACAATCTTGACAGGAACTTCAAATTTTTTTTTACAAATTTAGTCACATTAACATTACCTAATTCATAACAACATAATAACAAATTTAATCTCTGTGTGGTGGTACCCGATTTGTAAAAAACATAATAATTTCAGGTTGGTGACGTGGCTCCTAAATCCAAACTTCATCTGAAATTGCAGATGTACCAACCACCGCGGAACGCGGGACATTTTGGCTCAGTCGTTTCTTCCAGAAGCCGTGTCTGTGAGCTCCGATCAAGTCAGACTGAGTTCTCACTCGGTCATCCTCAACCAGGTCCATAACTCGGACACTTCGAAATGCCGGCCAATAAAATCCCCCGGGTTTTCTGTTTCGGAACCGCCGATACGAAGCTCGACGAGCTCCGATTCCTCGCCGAGTCGGTCGGATCCCATCTCGATTCTTTCTCCGCAGCTTCCTCGCTCAAGGTATATCCTTCTCTTTCTTTCTAGTTTTTGATAATCCGATTCGGATTCGCAATGTCGATACCGAAACTACAGGTCAAAGTCACGGTGGTGGACGTATCGGCGAGTCGGACCGAGACCGATACAAATCCAACCGATTTCGAATTCGTTTCGATAAAGGAGATTCTCTGTCACTATTCTGAAGCAGCAGCCGATCAGCTTCCGGTGGACAGAGGCGAAGCCGTAGCTGTAATGAGCAAAGCGCTCGAGAACTTCCTTACCAAAGACCAAAAGGACGGCGTTTTAGGCGGAGCCGTTGGTCTCGGAGGCAGCGAAGGCACGGCACTGATATCCTCCGCCCTAAGATCTCTCCAATCGGAGTGCCGAAGCTGATCGTATTGACCGTCGCAAGCGGGCGGACGGATCACTATGTAGGGACTTCGGACCTGGTGTTGTACCCATCGATAGTTGATGTGTGCGGCATTAATAGCTGAGCAGGGCCGTATTGAGCAATGCTGCTGCTGCGTTTTGTGGGATGGTGGTTGGGAGAGTTGGGAGGGGCGGAGGTTCGGATGGTGGCTGTGGCGGGGTGGAGAAATCAACGGTGGGGCTGACCATGTTCGGGGTGACGACTCGGTGTGTGAATGGGGTGAAAGAGAGATTGGAGAAAGAAGGGTATGGAACATTGGTTTTTCATGCCACTGGGGTTGGAGGGAGAGACATGGAGTCTCTGGTTAGAGATGGGTTCATAAAGGTAAGGTCTTTTTGTTGGAAATATATTCATTTGTATGTTTTGGTATGTTAAATTTGAAAATTTGAAAATTTGTTTGAGTAGAATTACTGGAATGGACATATAAAAATGTGAACTTAGTAAAGCTTTTGTTAAAGAGAACAGTTTACAGAACGAGGGAAGTTTTGATTGTTTGATTGTTGAAGCTCGAGATATGCCTTGTTTAGCTTAGTTTTAATGTAAATTCTTGAAAAGATGTAGGTATTTTAGAACTCATTGCGAAGCCTAGCCTACTCTTACTTATTAGTATATATAATTTCATTTCATTTAACTGTCGACAGGTACATGCATTGTTTGGTTCCCGTCTCAGTTTGCTATGTGCCAAATTCAAACCCATATGTAATTTCATTTCATTTAACTTTTAGTATTGAGTTGGTCTTTTTGCTTAATTTTTGTTTATTGGGAAGGTTTCCTTGTTGTTTTACTTAGGGTGTTTTGGATATCACAACAACAGAGGTTGGAGACAATGTGGTTTGGGGTGTCATGGCTTGCGATGCTTCCCACTTTGATGCCATCATAGAGAAAAGGATTCCTTTAGTACTAAGTGTTGGAGCTTTGGATATGGTAAACTTTGGAGCTAAGGATACCATACCATCCAATTTCAACACAGAAAGATTCATGAACATAATAAGCAGGTAATAACTGATAAGTCTCTAAACATAATATAACTCTAAAAGGATTGTCTGTGTGTGGATAACTCGGAAAAATACTCATCATTTTTCAGGTTTCACTCATGAGAACCACTGTGGTCGAGAACAAGAAATTTGCTGGCTTTATAGCAGATAAGTTGAACAAATCATCATCAAAGGTTGTTGTTTGCCTACCACAAAAGGGTATCTCTGCTTTGGATGTACCAGGGCAGCCTTTTGATGATCCAGAGGCCACTGCTTCTCTAACTACGAACTACAGAGGCTGATCCAAACAAATGAAGATCGGAAGGTACAATTATTTCCCATTGAATGGTGCCTTTTTTAGTTTCTTTGGTTTCATGTGCGGACCAACATTACTATTGAAAATAGTGCATTGTTAATAGGTAATGGTGTTCCCTCGTCATAAAAATGACCCTGAGTTTGTAAATGCATTGGTGGACTCGTTTTTAGAGATTAGTACAAAGAGTTATATTATATTCAGTGTACTCCGAAAGTTTCTACTCCTGAATCGAATCAACAAGTTCATGAAAGTTCTGTTTCCAAGATATACTTGTCAAGCTCTGAGACTGTTCCACGTAACCTGAGTGACTTCCCAGATGCATGACCAGGTTATAGTTTGAACTGTATTCATTTTCTTTGTGACATTACATATCATTGGGATGTTTAAGTAAATTCAGAAACGTATTGATATCCCCCAGAGTGCATGTGTTGTATTATATTGTGTCAGGTACATAGACATACTAAATCCCTATTATGTTGATTCCACAACAGAAATGCAATTACGTTGGATGGTTTAGGAAAGGGATGATAGTATGTAATGATTGAAAATTACAGCAACTTTGCTCAATGAATAGATTAGAGCTGCAGATTTTGTTTTATGTCATCATTGGAGTCGGATCTAACCAGTAACCTGTTACTTTTGTGACAGAAACTTGGCAAGGAACTAGAGTGGTATTGCAGCAACTCAAAGATCAAGTAAACAGAGGAATTCCAATTATAGGGGCAGGTGCAGGGACAGTAGGCCTGGCAATTTCTGACACGACCCGATAACCCGACACGACACGACACGACACGAAATTAACAGGTGTTTGGGTCGACACGATAACGAATCGGGTCGTTATCGGGTAACCCGATAAGCACCTGTTAAGATAACGGGTTAGTTCGGGTATACACGTGGGTAACACGATACACGATAAGCAGAATATTATTTTTATAATTTTATAACCCTAAAAAAATACTATAATAATTATATACATTAATTTTACAATTTTATACCCCTAAAAATTATAATAAATATATATATATATATATTAAATTAACTATAAAATTTATAATAATTATAATAATTATATATACTATAATAATTATACCCCCAAAATATTAAGTCTATCTATAATAATTATATATATATATTAAATTTTATAAAAACTATAATAATTATTAATTAATAATTTAATATGCATGATGCATTGCATGATTTTGCATCCATTGAAATTTGATATGATTTCTTTCCATTCAAATTTCAATAATCAATTTCTTGCCGTTGCCAACTTGCCGCCCTTTTTGAAAAAAAAAATGGAGGGAAAATGAAAATGTTAAGAAAAGTTGAAAATGAAACAAAAAAGTGGGGGAATTAGGGAAAGATGTTGGAGGGAAAAGTGAAAATGATAAGAAAAAGTTGAAAAGGAAACAAAAAAGAGATGGAAAAATGAAAATTAATAGAAGTGGTGAGAATTTTTTTTTTTTTTTTTTTTTTTTTAAGTTATTAACTTTTTATCACACACATGACTGTCATGACATATCTCACTATTTTTATAATGACACACGTGACACATGATGTATGTACTATTCCGTGTACCAGTCAATTATAATTTATACGTACAAAATAAATAGATTTAAATCTACTTAATAAATATACACACACACACACACACACACGGAACTTGATTGATGGCATACGAATTCTCCAAAACTAATTTCAACGATCCAAACCGTCAAAATTGTTTGTATATGCTTGGAGATCACATTAGCAAAAAATCACAAAAAAAAACATTCAGAGATCAAGTAACGGGACAAAACTTTTCAACGGTTATAAACGAAAAATCACGATTTAACGGTTATTTTAACTCCGATTTTGATGATTTTTTATAACTACACTCCTTGACCCTATATGAATACAATGAATGAATTCGATCTTCAATTTAAAATATTTACACAAGTGGATACCACAAAATCTTATGTTATACTTAATAAAAGTATAAATAAACTCTAAGTGTTAGTCAATCTATCGTTTTACGAATTCTCCAAAACTAATTTCAACGATCCAAACCGTCAAAATTGTTTGTATATGCTTGGAGATCACATCAGCAAAAAATCACAAAAAAAAACATTCAGAGATCAAGTAACGGGACAAAGCTTTTCAACGGTTATAAACGAAAAATCACGATTTAACGGTTATTTTAACTCCGATTTTGATGATTTTTTATAACTACACTCCTTGACCCTATATGAATACAATGAATGAATTCGATTTTCAATTTAAAATATTTACACAAGTGGATACCACAAAATCTTATGTTATACTTAATAAAAGAATAAATAAACTCTAAGTATTAGTCAATCTATCGTTTTACGAATTCTCGAAAACTAATTTCAACGATTCAAACCGTCAAAATTGTTTGTATATGCTTGGAGATCACATCAGCAAAAAATCACAAAAAAAAAAACATTCAGAGATCAAGTAACGGGACAAAGCTTTTCAACGGTTATAAACGAAAAATCACGATTTAACGGTTATTTTAACTCCGATTTTGATGATTTTTTATAATTACACTCCTTGACCCTATATGAATACAATGAATGAATTCGATCTTCAATTTAAAATATTTACACAAGTGGATACCACAAAATCTTATGTTATACTTAATGAAAGTATAAATAAACTCTAAGTGTTAGTCAATCTATCGTTTTACGAATTCTCCAAAACTAATTTCAACGATCCAAACCGTCAAAATTGTTTGTATATGCTTGGAGATCACATCAGCAAAAAATCACAAAAAAAAACATTCAGAGATCAAGTAACGGGACAAAGCTTTTCAACGGTTATAAACGATAAATCACGATTTAACGGTTATTTTAACTCCGATTTTGATGATTTTTTATAACTACACTCCTTGACCCTATATGAATACAATGAATGAATTCGATCTTCAATTTAAAATATTTACACAAGTGGATACCACAAAATCTTATGTTATACTTAATAAAAGAATAAATAAACTCTAAGTATTAGTCAATCTATCGTTTTACGAATTCTTGAAAACTAATTTCAACGATCCAAACCGTCAAAATTGTTTGTATATGCTTGGAGATCACATCAGCAAAAAATCACAAAAAAAAAACATTCAGAGATCAAGTAACGGGACAAAGCTTTTCAACGGTTATAAACGAAAAATCACGATTTAACGGTTATTTTAACTCCGATTTTGATGATTTTTTATAATTACACTCCTTGACCCTATATGAATACAATGAATGAATTCGATCTTCAATTTAAAATATTTACACAAGTGGATACCACAAAATCTTATGTTATACTTAATGAAAGTATAAATAAACTCTAAGTGTTAGTCAATCTATCGTTTTACGAATTCTCGAAAACTAATTTCAACGATCCAAACCGTCAAAATTGTTTGTATATGCTTGGAGATCACATCAGCAAAAAATCACAAAAAAAAAAACATTCAGAGATCAAGTAACGGGACAAAGCTTTTCAACGGTTATAAACGAAAAATCACGATTTAACGGTTATTTTAACTCCGATTTTGATGATTTTTTATAACTACACTCCTTGACCCTATATGAATACAATGAATGAATTCGATCTTCAATTTAAAATATTTACACAAGTGGATACCACAAATCTTATGTTATACTTAATGAAAGTATAAATAAACTCTAAGTGTTAGTCAATCTATCGTTTTACGAATTCTCCAACACTAATTTCAACGATCCAAACCGTCAAAATTGTTTGTATATGCTTGGAGATCACATCAGCAAAAAATCACAAAAAAAAAACATTCAGAGATCAAGTAACGGGACAAAGCTTTTCAACGGTTATAAACGAAAAATCACGATTTAACGGTTATTTTAACTCCGATTTTGATGATTTTTTATAACTACACTCCTTGACCCTATATGAATACAATGAATGAATTCGATCTTCAATTTAAAATATTTACACAAGTGGATATCACAAAATCTTATGTTATACTTAATAAAAGTATAAATAAACTCTAAGTGTTAGTCAATCTATCGTTTTACGAATTCTCCAAAACTAATTTCAACGATCCAAACCGTCAAAATTGTTTGTATATGCTTGGAGATCACATCAGCAAAAAATCACAAAAAAAAAAAAAACATTCAGAGATCAAGTAACGGGACAAAGCTTTTCAACGGTTATAAACGAAAAATCACGATTTAACGGTTATTTTAACTCCGATTTTGATGATTTTTTATAACTACACTCCTTGACCCTATATGAATACAATGAATGAATTCGATCTTCAATTTAAAATATTTACACAAGTGGATACCACAAATCTTATGTTATACTTAATGAAAGTATAAATAAACTCTAAGTGTTAGTCAATCTATCGTTTTACGAATTCTCGAAAACTAATTTCAACGATTCAAACCGTCAAAATTGTTTGTATATGCTTGGAGATCACATCAGCAAAAAATCACAAAAAAAAAAACATTCAGAGATCAAGTAACGGGACAAAGCTTTTCGACGGTTATAAACGAAAAATCAAGATTTAACGGTTATTTTAACTCTGATTTTGATGAATTTTTACAGCTACACTCCTTGACCCTATATGAATACAAAGAATGAATTTGATCTTCAATTTAAAATATTTACACTAGTGGATGTCGATATCACAAAATCTTATGTTATAATTTATATACTTAATAAAAGTATGAATCAACTATAATATTAATAATTATATACATTAATTTAATAATTTTATATCCCTACAAAGTAAAAACTATAATAATTATATAGATGTAGGTGTAAATTGAATACAATTTCATGATGATCGATGTAAATTGAAGATTTTGTAAATGGAGGTGTAAACTTTTGAGAAAGACTTACAATCTTAAAAACAAAAACTCTTTGCACATTGAATATTTGTAATATATTAGTAGTGTATGTATTTTTTTTTTTATTAGGCTTTTATTTTCGAGTGTAGATATAGTACTTGAACGAGAAATGTTTTAATGTTTTGAAGTAATATTTATGTGGCAATGTGTGGTATGTGCAAATTTAAAAAAAATATATTTTGTTCTTAACGGGTCATAATGGGTCATAACGGATCGGGTCACTTTACCCGTTGGGTAAAGTGACACGACCTGTTAAGGACCCGTTAAGATAACGGGTGTGACACGACACGACCCGTTAAGATAACAGGTGTTACACGAAAACGACACGAACACGATAGACACGACCCGTTTGCCAGGCCTAAAGGACAGGCATATCTGCAAAGTTTGAAGAAGCTGGTGGTGTTGATCTGATGGTGGTTTACAATTCAGGGCGCTTTTGCATGGCAGGAAGAGTTTAAAACAAAGATATAGAATTCCGTGTAAAACAAGAGTTTAAAACGAATGGTTTGATCGGTCAAAGGATGATTTTACTTTGAGGTCCAAGTTAGTTTGGCTAGGAAACTTTTATTTATTAATTAGTTTTCTAGATTTGTTCGGACACCTAAATTAGTTAAAGAATTTAATTTCTGCACTATTTATATTTTAGCAGACTCTTTTCTAGGTTCTCACGTGATATATTGGAGAACGCCCTTAGAAACCGTACATGCATCTTTTGATGCATACGGTTCAACAAAAATAACGAAAAAAAAAAAAAAGAATCAATGTGTAGATGTAGATTAACTTTTGGCTGGGGAGCTCGGTTTTGGATAGGAGTGACAATTCTAACCGTTAAATCCGATAACTGTAGATAATTATCTGAATGGATTGAATTTGAGTATGAAAATTTGGGTATATTTGGGGAAAAAATGTGAATATTATTCGGTTATAGTTTTGATTATGGTTATAGGGATTTCTAATCTATATTTGTACCTGAATCCAAACCGAATAATATATAATATAATTATATGTATATATGTATCTTCATTATTTATCGAATCCATTACCTTGAATAAAAATTGCATTGTGTGAGTTGCATTTTGTGGCAAAGTTCAAAAGTTTTGATATGAATCAAAATCTGCGAGAATTTAATAGTATTTATGTGAGATATCAAAGATCAACCAATGTTATCAATGTTTAGCTTTAATTTTTATGTTTCACAAGATCCATTAATTAAATCATTTTATACATCAAATATTTAATGACGAAATTAATATTACTAAATTATCATGCGTCAATTGGGCGAATATATTTTTTCTATTAATGAAGATGGATATAATCATTAACCGATGAGAAATCTATTATCCGGTGGGTATGGTTATGGATAATACCCGATGGTTAATTTTCGGTTATGGATATGGTTAATTTTTGTGATTATGAGGATGAATATAACATTTCCGTCCCTAAACCGATTCGTTTGTTTGACTGAGATCACAAACCTTAGCGTGAATATGTAGTTTCTATTCAATTGCTTATGATGTTATGCATGCTTTCTTTGAATTGTTAATAACTATTTAAACTATCTATATGTCTTGATAATTGGCCACCATTAGGATATATAGACATGTAATTTAATGCAATTTATGTTAGAATATCACATTGAAATTGAGTAGGGCTTCTTGTGATTGATAATTATAATTTCACTTAAGACGAATATCATGCTTTTAAAGGTTACATGGTTTTTAAAAAAGTTTTCACAAAACTTAATGAGTTTTGCACGTTCATATTTTTTTATTTGAATATCATGGACAAGTTCCATGTTAGATATATATTATAGCTTGAATATCATAAGTAGAATATGCATTAGAAAAACTTAACTTCAAAGCATGTATGTGTATTAACTCATAAGTAATTGATATAACTATTTAGGATTGTTTATGGTGATGCTAAACCCTAGTGCCTTTTTACAATTGAATTTCCAAAACTATTTGCTTTTCTTGCTGCCAATTTCAATCATTGTCAATTACTCTTATTTTCTGTTTTATTACTCAACTTCACAATTTCAAATCTTTTCTAAATTTTGTGTTAAATAGTTAAATAAGAATAGATAAAGCTATTCATATCAATTCTAGTGGAGAGCGAACTTACTTGAAATATATCTACTACAATTACTTTGTTTTTATAAAAATGTTTTATAAATGTTTTTAATCCTATTTTCGTATGCGGTAGAAATCTATCACAAAGAAAAATAACGTGTTCCGATAGAGAGATGGGTACGTACATCAAATCTACATGGGTTGAACTTCGTCGGGTGTGCAAACAGATCTGGATTCATGTGTATGCGAGTCACGTCAGCATTCACCCCCCACCCTTTCTTTATTTCAAAGCCTGCAATTGCATTGTGATAAATTAAGATCAAACAAGCTTTTATTAAGAGAAATATTGAAAGAAAAATCTATCTATCCTCTCCGAGCTTCTCTATGAGACGGGAAACACTTCCGCTGCAGTGCTAGCTGTGGTAATTCATGGCTTCGGACATCTATAAATAGATAAAATATTTGTATGCGCCGGTTATATGTAACTTTTTTTTAAGTTATGTTCATTATAAATTGCCTTCTGTAGAGCAGTCACTGGTTGCGACCCGAGGAACCCACAAAATAACATTTGCCAACCTCAATGTCTCTTTCATAACCTGGAGAAAAAAACAAATGGAGCAGTAAAAATGTCAACGCGTTTGTACGCAAGAAAGCGCCACTATCAGTTTAATATTGGTGGAAGGTTGCATTATCAGAGATCTCTTTTCTATGTCGAATATAACAATCGAAATTAGCTAGGATGCATGTGATGCTAACCTTCGCGCAGTAGGGCATGTTTTTAATATCTTCATGTGTAGCTCGCTAATTACCAATTAGAATTAAACCTTGGGCATCTCCTAACCTCCACTTATGCTAGGTAGAATATATATTTTTTTAATGTTATAGCATCTCCAATCTATGGCGAGAAGGACCATATACTTATGTAAGAGTTCATCGAAGATACTTTTGAAGAGCAGCAAATATTAAGCAAGCACAGCTCTTTGAGTAATCACCATCGACTCTTTTCATGGTGTTGGTCATGCGTATGGTCATTATTAAGTTACCGATTCTACGCATCTTGGCAGGATGGGTAGACAGCCACTAATGATTGTAGGCTTTTATATATTATTTGTTTAGAATCACATTGGTAGTAAAAAGACAGTATTAAGTTAATGTATACATGGTTAGGTTCAACACTCATAGTAAAAATGAATGAATGGATAAGTATTAAGTTGAGACATATTTAATTAGGTTGAAAATGGTGTAACCTTTCAATTTTTTTATGTATATTTTATTAAAGAAAGTTCTAGTACATAAATCTATCATCAGTGGTGGGTATAGAATTTGAATCTTGAGGGTTTTAGTGTGAAAGTACAAGTTTTTTTTAGACAGAAACATAATGCGAAGTGCGCAAAATAATTTCAATTTATTTACTGAGGCATTTTGTCAAACACTTAATGAGTTTGTTTTCATCAGCCAAACCTTGTTGCGTGCATGCAACAAATATCGACATATGTCAAGCAATTTGATGTGTGATATTGAGATAATTTGTCGAATATTGTAGACGCAACTTGTTGAGATATGCCTAGCAGACATTACATTAAACATTTGGTGGGCACAAAGACCTTCGTACCAAACATTCGGAAGGTCCTTAGAAGACCTTCACATGTATATTTTCGGATTCCAAATGATCCTGGGGCCACCTTAATCTCTATGTACATACGCCCATGTTTATCATGCACATATATCATATACGAATGATTGGAAATTTTCACTTGATTTGTGAAGACAAATTTAGATAGAATTCCAACATTTATTGTGGCATCCTAAAATAAGAGATTCACATCCACAAAAAGACAAATGAATTAAAATACAAAACGAGGAAGGAAACATTAACCACAAAAGACCAAATGTTTGTGCAATAAATTAAACATTGGGGTTATGCGGAATAAGTCCAAACTTGTACTTATGCCAAGTAGAATATTTTCTTAAATGTTATAGCATCTTCAATCTGTAGCGACAAGGACCATATACTTCTATAAGAGTTCATCAAAGAATCTTTTGAAGAGTAGCAAATACTAAGCAACCATAGCGCTTTGAGTAATCAGGATTTAGAAACTGATAGGCAGCAACAAGCATGGAACTGCAGTTATTGTTCACCAATGGTTTTCTGGTATCAACATCGACCCTTTTCACGGCGTTGGCAATGTTTGCAGGAGTTTTGAGTTACTTGTATGGGCCGTACTGGAGGGTGAGAAGGGTACCTGGCCCTCCAGTTATCCCCTTGCTAGGACACCTTCCCTTGCTGGCAAAGTATGGTCCTGATGTATTCTCAGTTCTTGCCAAACAATATGGCCCTATTTTCAGGTTAGTATGTATACATGTGTATGTAAATTTCATATATATGTAGCAGATTTGCATTTGTAATCTCCTTTGCGACAAAAAATTACGTATTCTGTTCTACAATTTTTTCCCAAAGAAATTTCATAAAATCTTATACGTTATATGATTGAAATGTATGGGGCGACTGGATAATGGTTGGTAAACATATGACCTCGTAATGAATGGTATATTTTAGTCATGTCACTTTAGTTCTGAATTTGTTAAAATTGGTCGCGCATGCGTATGGCCATAGCATAGCTATTAAGTTTTTGATTCTACACATCTTGGCAGGTTTCATATGGGTAGACAGCCACTAATAATTGTAGCAGATGCAGAGCTTTGTAGAGAAGTAGGAGTAAAAAAATTCAAAGATATCAACAACAGAAGCATTCCGTCTCCCATCGCAGCTTCCCCACTCCATCAGAAGGGTCTCTTCTTCACCAGGTATTTGTTGTACGGGCTATATACGACAGTGGTTATGAAACTTATACTCCTATTTAACTTTGATCCTTCCATTCAGTTCATAGATTCTATGGTCAATTAAATTGCGTTATATGGTCCCAAAACATACGACAAAAACTGGCAGGTGGGCTAAAGTGCGATACATGATGCAATTAGATATGACCATAGAATTTAAAAATTGTATTGAAAGGAGCAAAGTGAAATATAGTGTAGAATATTTATCAGTTACAGTAGTCATCAAATTTATTGAATGATCTGATGGAATTCAAGCGTATATCCTGCAGGGATGCAAGATGGTCAATGATGCGAAACACTATATTATCGTTGTATCAGCCATCACACCTGGCCAGCCTTGTGCCCACAATGCAGTCATTCATCGAGTCTGCAACTCAAAAGCTCGACTCCTCCAAAAAAGCAGAAGATATTACCTTTTCCAACCTCTCCCTCAGGTTGGCCACTGATGTAATAGGACAAGCTGCATTTGGAGTCAACTTTGGCCTCTCTAAACCGGAATCCATCAACGAATCAATTGACAAGATTGACAGCAAAGACAACAACGATGATGACCAAGTCTCAGATTTTATTAACCAACACATCTATTCCACTACTCAGCTTAAGATGGACTTATCCGGTTCCTTCTCAATCATACTGGGATTACTTGCCCCTATTCTCCAGGAGCCATTTAGGCAGGTCTTGAAAAGAATTCCTGGGACAATGGACTGGAAAGTTGAGCGTACAAACCG